GCCACCGCCCGCCCTGGGATATCATCATCTTCACCATCATCATCATCACGTGCCGCCGCCGTCAGGTAATGTCCGAGTACTTGCGACGAGTATTCTGAACGGTGTTACCAGAAGCAATAAGTCAATTGTACAACTAAATGGCAAAAATGTACCAGATTGAGTCAAAAGGTATCAAAAATTTTGGTTTGTCTCTTTCATTTGCTGTCTGCGATGTGGTACCAGGGTACCAATATAGTTAGAAATGCAGCAAATCTGGCAACACTGATTCAGAACGATGCGAAATCGAATGGAAGGTTCAAGGGAATGTTTTCTTTCTTCCTCCCTCCCCTCCCCCTTTTCTCTGAAGAACCGCGAATATCTTCCACTTTGCCGCGAAGATTCAAAGTGGATTCGGAATTGTCTTTTCCGACATTCTCCGATGATTTTTCTTGCAACGCCACACGCATTGACAATCGCGAGAAACACGGTTTATGTCACTCTCGAGTCATTCAACGTTTCTTTCCTTTTTGTCGTACTTTTCTTCTATCTATCGGCAGGAACACTGACTCGTACAGCTACCGGTATTAACACCAGTCCAAACACACTCCTCGCGCGACTGTATGTATGATAATCGATCTTTAAGAGTTTTAAGATCAGCACGACGAAACCTGTATTTCTAGACTAGCTATTAAATTTCTTGTCACCACGCGAATGTGGCTTGTGAGAGACCTTCGTGGACTTCGCGCGTTGTTGATAACGATAGAAATCAAACGCAAAGCTGAGATCACGGTTATCCTAACACAAACCGTTTAAACTTTGGTGAACGAAAACTTTATCGGTACCTTTGTATGGTCGTAATTAATAATGCAGACGTTTTAAAGACATTCTTAAGGAGATTTTAGCGCTATTTTCTAATCAATAGACAGTTTATTTGAAAATATCTAATTCGCTGTAATGCTAGTATATATAATCATTAGAGTACGACCGAAATTTTTACCGAAACTGAAAACGAACCTTATTACATGTCAGTTTCGACTGAAACCATATACCTCTTCTTGATAAATATTAATTTTAACATATGTAATTAGTTTTAATAATTAAATTATGATGTTTATAAAGAAGAAGTACTTATATTCTTTGACCAAAATTGACACACAACCGAAATCTCGGTTTTCGATTTCGACCAGAATTTAATTATTGTTTCAAAAAATTATGATATTTATGAAGAAAATGTGTATGATATATGGGCATATAGATACATACGACCTTTATAGGATTTCTATTTTTTAATTTAAGTTTCGGTTTCGATTCAAATTGACATGTAGCCGAGCGTTTTGGTTCAGTTTCGGCAAAAGTTTCAATCGGACTAATAATAATATTGTTGATTTTGATATTAAATGTTTTTTAAATGACAAAATAAAAGTTATAAAATGCTTATTTGATGTATCATTCATTTGACAACATTCTTTTGTTCTTTTTTCTTCAATGAATGTGTTTACTTTGTAATTATAACGATTTTTTAATTTATCTTATATAAGTGTCTCAATTAAAAAAAAAAATATCTTACAGGATAAAGTTACACGTTTACTTGCAAAATTTTATAAATTTAGAAATTAAATATTTTCAAAGTGGTACAGTAAAAGTCAATGAAATTTTTTTAGATATTGTTAATACCATTAACTTTTGTATTATATATATATATATATAGACTTATCTTATATTTCAACGCGAGAATCTCCTCAAAAGTCGTTAACGTCAATTATTTCCGGGGGTTGGGGGAGGGGTGGGGAAATAATTACTTTTCCAATATCAGAATTGCAATTCATGCAATATTAGCCTGATATATCCCCAACGCATGTCAATGTTTTCGCTAGTGAATACGCTTCTATAGGACCATCATTGTTAAAAAAATCGGAGTAAAAATCGCTATTCATTTTTTACCACCAAATTTCTTACTTAAAATTGCATAAATTGCGATCGACCCGATGCTACCAATTGAGCCGTCCATTCGATATTTCGAAAAATGTAAGAATTATTAACTAAATATTAAAATTAAGCAAGACATACTCACATTACTTTAGCTCGAACGCAACCCGTAGCTTGTATTCACTTAACCCGTAACAGCAATTCTTAGAACGGATTATTCGCTGTTAAGTTCGTAATTATTAATTAAATTAATTCGTTTCTAACCAATTGCTGCAAATAGTGATATATATCACGTAATGATATTGACAGAGGAAATAATAGAAGCAACTAACGAATTATCTGCTATACAGCCTTCTATACTATTAACCACGTTGAAAACAACAATATTATAACTCAGACATATATAACTTTGCTACAAACCTTAATAATAAAACAATAATAATTTGCCTTAATGTGCGAAAAATATCTGACAAATGCTTCTCAATACGTCAATTTTGTCAGACGTCAAACGTTGAATGTTTTATGATATTTGAATCTTTTACTTATAACTCGATAAAGCGAAAACAATATTTAATAAGTATGACATATATTTGTTATGGTTATATTTCTACACATAAATCGCATATACAATTTTTTGTTGTCCAAATTGATTTCAGTACAAATATGTATATATCTTCTCTTCTGTTTACTTATAAGAATTAATAGTATCTCGTAATATTTTAGTACATACAACACTTATACTTAAATACACAATAAATATACAATAAAATACATACAATAAGTATAAATAACTAAGCATACAAAAAATAACAAAATTATCAACGTTAATAAAATTCATAATAAAAATATCCGCTATTGTTATTTCGAATTGATGGGATCGAAACCTATAAACCGACGGAAATTTTAAACAGCATTACGGGGGTGTATTGATTTGCTAGACATTAAATTATTAAATGAATTTAGAGAGAAATGACAGAGAGAATAGAGAGATGATCTACAAAGTTTTACCGACGGCAAAATACAGCTTTTAATTTATGCGGTGTATCGAAATATATGTAAGAATTTAACAAATTCATTGTGTACACGTGTATGTAATACATAAACTTTCGGATTTAATATTATAAAAATTAAATTAAATTCATATCTTAAAATATCGATAAGACTTCGAAATTACGTTCGAGATACAAGTTTACGCGCGATTTTAGATCTTGCCGTCGGATGGCTGTCATCATTGATAGTCGAGATTGCAAGATCGGTGATTCGTACGCAAATTGACTCAGACTCTTGTGATAAAACATCACATAACTTTTGTACTAGACATATTTTTTATAATACTTGTATAAATAATTTCATCGTCACAAAACACAATTTTTTTATTAATATTTATAATTTAACGGAAGACAAAGTCGTCACAAGCAATCTAGCGTGTTAGAAACTTAATTGCCATTTAGGAACCCAACACGATTTCGACATTATAAAAAAGACGAAATTTTGACTGTTACAGTAAATACGAAAACTATCGTACAGAGCATTTAACAGAGAAAGAGAAATTTTAACTTTTAGAGAGAAATTGCAGACTTTAAAGACACGCGTTTATCATTTGAAATATTCTTATATCCTGAGAATGCACTGATTTTTGAGAAACTTTTTATTGCCATGTTCTGTACATCATATATTCTGCACAGATAGAATAATTTAACTCCACGACTCTTGAACCCGAAGATTATAATATGCTAGGAATAATTATTTCATAAACAGATTTTTCTATGTCTAATACTTTCTAGACGGCGCCGCTTGCGAAAGATAATATAAATATAAAAGGACGAAAGGGAGAAAAAGCGCGAGTATTGAGTCATCCAACACGAGCCGAGAAAGATATTGAAGAACCGATAACTCTTAATTCCATAGGCCATCGGTAGTCCCGCTGAATTGGGCGTGTTACATCACCAGGTCAAGTTTATACAAGGGACCGAAACGCCTCCCATCGACGTTAAAACGATTAAAAGTCCGATAATAGCTGATTCTCATTTAAAGGACATCCAAAGCTTGCAGAGATTTATGTTTAATCTAGTCCTTCGTGAAAATGTCTTCATCAACGTTACATTTTTGCTTGAATGCTTCAAAGTGCTGTTTACGCGGATTTCGTGTGCGAGAGAAATCTTTTTCTCCCATTCGTGTATGCACGCAATGGATTAAAGCACACACTTTGCGTAGGTCATTATCTAAAGTGTCGTACCTTCGTATGGTAACGCATAGTAAATCGCATGTACACGCCTGACATTTCGTTATTATTGTATGGATTCGTAAGACAGGAAATCGTACATCATACACGAACCCACAGTGGGCGGATAAAAGGGAACGAGTCACCTTCTCTCTTTCTCCTCTGTCTCTGTCTTTCTCTCTCTCTCTCTCTCCCTCTCTCTCTCTCTTTCTCTCTAGATGCTCGACTCTCATTGACGTCCTTTTAATAATGCTGATTCTGCTCGCACTCTCTCTTCTTTCTCTCGCAGAGTCGCGCATAAAAGTTCTTAGCAGAAAGTATCTGTGCGCATTAATTTTTATGATACGTCACGTTGCGTTTAACCACAAAATTTCTTGCAACAGAAGTGTCTCCTTTAAATTCGAGGGTGCTATAAAAATTCATCGTGATACAAATGTAACTGTGTATATTAAATATTTAGGTATCGACTAAAAATGTTTTTTATTAAAAAATTACATTAGATATCTATCATATCCATCATATTACTTAATGTACTTTAAATATAAATACATAATAAACGTTAAATAATATGATAAAGAGTAACATGTTTTTTTTACAATAATATTACAATTTATGAAAGAGAAAAGATATTTGTTCAATTATGTGAGCAAATCAATCAATTCTTAAAAAAGAATCTGTGCACCCCCGATAGTCTTATATAGTTCTTATTGATTTATCCATTATTTATCCTTTATTTATTCAAGATTTTATATCTCGAAGAGTCCTTTTATCTTGTATACATCAGTATGATCGATGGGATAATAATCACAAAAATTAGCCTTTTTCTTATTATCAGTGACTTTTTGTGTCGTGAACATTTTCTCAAGAAATCTTTTCAAAAATAATCCTCGAGAGGAAATAAATATGAAATTATATATACGATTTATTTAAGATAATTTA